TTTTTTTGTGGGGGGGGGGGGGAGGTAACCATATCCTTGAAAATGTAAGAATATTTGAGCTGATGAAATGCTGAACCTACCAAAATCAATGAGGAAACATTTTCTGATCTCTTCAGGGTCTGAAATTTAAACAGTGTCTCTATCATCACATGCAAATGGATAAACACCATGACAAATTAGGCTATCTATGCCTGCAGTCTTGAAATGTCAGCTCATAGCACAGACTTAGATTCCTCTGTTGATGCACTTTTAAACACAAATATGCATTTTGAGGTCATTAACCTTCCGATTTTAAAAATCAATATCTGAAGATTTTAAAGGAGTTTCATTGCAATTTTCATATGGTTCATGATTGGGTACTTTGTGTGTGTGATTCACAAGCCACTGCATACCACCGTTCTTAAAGCAGCACTTGTCATAGTGAGATCTGTAATTCTGGAGGCACTCTAATTCCTTCTGCCCACAAAAATGGTATTAGAAAAACATATGAGAAATGTATTCTATTGACAGGTCACATTCCCTACATTCCTCCATTTCCTGATCAGCATCTATGGTTATTTGTAATTACTGTGTTTACTACTGGAAATGGCATGTAGGTTTTAACTGCAGCCGGAGTGTTTAACCTGATTTTCACCTGAAATGACTGAGATTGTTTTCAGCGCCCGCAGTACTCTGAACGTTCGTAAGGCTGAGACATTGCCCAGGTCCACAAATTCAGTTATGTATCTGTAACAAGGGAAAGTCACACACAGACAATGACGAAACACCAGCAAAAAAAAAACAACAGTCAAAGGGACAAAGAGAGACAGAGAAAGAATCACTTGTAGCTGAGAGCCAAAACGTAAGGATCAGGGCTTCTTACCTGGGATTACTGAAATAGTTTTTAAAGCTCTCAATACCCTGAAAGTCCGAAGAGGTGAAACACTGCCTACTTTCACAAATTCTCCTACATACCTGTAGAATTAAGTCACAGTTATTTGGAATTATACAATAGAGTATAAGACTTGTCTGAATGAAGAATGCAATCATACAAAGTGGGAGCAAACGCAGCTGAATGAGAGATGCATCCGCTTTTCAGGCTGCTATTTGATGCCATTTGTCCCAGTTTTTTCATAGTATACATTACTTCAAATGTTTCTTGAACTATAAAACTTATCTAATAGGCATCAATTCTTTAAAACTACTGGGTTAACTTTGTTACTGTGCTTTTCAGCAATAAATACTTTAAAAACTTCAGCATCATGTAGCTTAACAAAAAATTCTTTACATTATAGGAAACATTAAGATCTATTTTGCTGCTCTTAAAAAAATAAAATCTTCAAATACCCAAGTAATTTTCACATAATAGCTTCTGCAAACTACATATAGGACAACATCTGAAAATATCAGTGCAAATGTTTCTACTTGGCTATTTATTCTAAGATGCTGCATTCTGTGCTAAAGCAGATGTTGGTTTCAAGAGATGCTTAAAATTTTACTTTGTTTTGTACATCAGATCCATGCCCTTCGGCTGCAGGAAGATAGATTTTGAATGAATATAATTGCAACCCTACTAAAAACTATTTATGATTAAAATACCAATCCCAGCTCTTCACTGCCATGCCTATTTTGGTCATCATGAAGACCCATACCACATCTGAGTTTAGTGCTGCCAGAAGGATCAGTTATGGGATGCATTTGGTTTTATCAGTGTTTTACAGAATTATTTCCTCCAAGTGGGCATACAGTAAAAGCACAGTCACCATTGCATCCTCTGAACAAAATAGTTCTTGGACTCTTTAATTTCACCATTAAATTACCATTAAATTTCATTTACATATTCCACATCTTTAAGGCATTTGTTTTTACCTGTTAAGGAAAAAACTCACCTGGTTATTTTACAAAGCCTGCTTAAGCGGGTTTTGTGCAAAGGCCTCTGGGGAGGACAAAGCATCCTCTCCATATCTACTAATCCAGATTATAGCCTGGAAGAGCAATATTGCTTCTCCTCTTCATAATCTCATAGAGGAGTCTGGGGAAAGATTTACCTGTTTCTCCCCCTGGTTTACTCAGTGCTTGTCTCACAAATTCTTATGCAACATGCAAGGGTGGAAAAAACTAATCTGGGGAGAAGCAATAGCATGGGAATATGATTTTGCTGACTAGAGATTTGTAAAAACACATTATTAATATGGGGACAAGAATATGAAGCAAATATTACTGCTGCTTGCTCACAATAGTTAGTTCTAAGATTTATTTTGGCCATTTCTTGAGTGAAATTGCAGTAGACCAGTTCCTCTGAATTGGGAGGGAGAAGCAACTGGAATTCCCATCCTGAATTTACCTATTAGCCGGGGAATTGCTTATTGTCATTAAGCTTTTGGCAGGGCACTTTCCAACCCAGAGTTACAACTGCCTGTCCTGGAAAGTACTCACTTGATTGAGAAAAAGTGATCTAAACAGCAACAGTTCCATAATTTCCTACTTTCCTTTGAACCTTTCCATGGCCCAGAGTGCCATGGCTGTGTCTGCTAGCACAAGGTGGAAGAAAAGCCCTGGAGACCTGTGGCACCTCTTACTCTCTAGTGTACTATTTGAAACTACTGTCTATACCCCAATCTGCGTCATTTCTGCCCCAAAGAGGAGGCAGGAAGTTGTGTGGCAGTAACTCTAAAGCAAGTGATGGTCTTTCCACTGTAACACTTATCAGTGAAAGAATAAGATTTTCTATTAGCTTAAAACCCTCAGTCTACCTAAATCTCACGGCCCCTTAAGAGGCTCTCCCATTCTGAACCCTCATGCCATCTTTTTTTCCAGACAAAAAAGTATCTCTATAGCATCACACTAGCTACAAGCAAAAACACCACCAGTTAACTGTGATCAATATTACTTTAAATTACTTGCAAATTGGATTTATATGAAAGATAAATCATATCAGAATAGAGTCCATTATCCAATGCTCTGTTCTATCTGCTGCTTGTATACTTGGGAAAGAGGTTTCATTGTACATATGAAGATCACACTGACCATTCAGACTCAAATTTCAGTGACAGCAAATGAGATGTTCCCAGAGGAGTTCTGCAGAGCTGGGGGTGATGCCACAATCTCTGCCCAAACTGAGAAGATGAGATGGAGCAGACTCATTGCAGAGGCTGCAAACTGTGGCTCCCCTTGTCCTTTTCTCTGCTTCTTTCTGCCTTAACTACCTAAAATATTTTTCCTTGTAGAATAGAGGGAACCCACACATGGAAACTCTCCATCTTGTGCTGAATTCAGAGACCTGCAAATAAACTGACATCCTAACTCACAAACAGAAGAACTATCATACCCTGCTTTTACCACCTGTCTGATGGACAGCAGAGCAGGCTGGTCATGCCTTGTGTTGTTCTATCGTGTGTCTCAGTGCTGCAGAACTGCACTTAGCACTGCTTTAGGCAAAGTTCAGCTGAGAAAAATACCTAACGTGTGCTGACCTCCAAAAGCTCCTCCCCATCTGCATTGCATTTTTTGAAAGCTTATCACAATGGCCAGATGTCAGTTCAGCCAAATCCATAGGAATGCAGTAACAGACACCAGGATCAGGCCTAGAGCTGGCTATGACCCAAAGCCTACTAAAATAAATGGAAGTCTTCCCAACAAAGTCAAGATAGGTTTTACATATCTTCATGCTGTTCTGCTAAATGTTGCTAAGGTTCATAGAATCATACACTATCTCAAGTTCGAGAGACCCATAAGAATCACTGAGTCCAACTCCTGGCTCCTCACAAGACTATCTAAAGCTAAACCATTCAGCTAAGAGCATCATCCAGACACTCCTTGAATATCGATGCTGATCCCTGCACCCTACCTGAGGTGTTCTATCAACTTCAGTGGCCCTCACTGGTTTTTGAACTAAGTGGGATTGAATATTTTTTCCCAATTTTGGTTCCATTCAAATATAACTGGCCCAGGAGTTCAGCTCAAATGAAAGTCCTAACAGGCTTGCACCTCACTTAACACTGTGAATTACGAGGTTTAAAGATGGCAGCAAGAACTCAACTAAAACCAGAACAGAACTGAAGTATCATTAAGCAGAAAATACAGGGAGATTAAATTAAATCCTTCTATGGTTAGGAAACGGTGCCTTTAAGGGCATATCTAACCTGATTCCACTTCAAGATGACGTGTTTTTCACATATTTTCTCTCTTTGACTACGAAGAAAATCTGGATTTCTAGCTCAGCTTTCTGGTTTTCAGCTGGAGATGCCAACAGTGTCAGACATCTGCCTTTGGCAAGAACTTGAGCTGACCCTGGGTCTGCTGCGAGCTTTGGCTGACTGCTTCCCTACCCCCATGTATTTTTAGCTGTATAGATGCCACAAATCCATCAGCTCTTCCAAAGCACCAGAACCCCACATGTTCTCAGCAAACTCTAATAATCTAGGTAGAAGTATATATTTGAAGGGGAATATCATGTATGAGGGGGCAAATTTCTATTCCCAAAATATATAACAAGTTTTGGAGGCCTTTAAATCAATTCTCTATTGCAGTAAAATAGGAATTACTTTCAGTGAAGAGGCCTTGTGAAGTGAAGAAAGCAAAAACAGTTTTAGTTGTGTTATGGATAGATAAATAGGGATTTAAATACATGGGTATTCAGTCAGACGTATAATATTTTCTATTCAGGGGTCTAAAGCTTCCCAAAATTGCATTAGATACTTGAGTATTATTACAGATATACAAACAGCTCTCCATGGAGCACAGAGAGAGTAAATAACTTCTCCAAAGTATTACAGTGAATTGAGAGAACAGAATTGAGAGAACAGAATTGAGAATTCCTCTGACTTCTTCCTCTGAAACCATTCAGGAAAAAACCCCTCTATCCTAATACACTTCAGCATTTTCTCATTGTCAGTACAATTTGAGTGAAAAATAAAAAAGACTACAGCCAGACAATTTTTTAAAAGTCCTACTGCGTATTACTGCCTTGAAAAATACAACGGAATGCTACTTACGCCATAACAATAACACTGAAATCCAGCCAGTTCCATGGATCTCGAAGGAAGGTGAATTCTGTCATGCAAAATCCTCTCGCCAGTATTTTTATCAGTGACTCAAAAGTATAAATGCCAGTGAAAGTGTACCTGGGGAATAAAGTGGTCAAGACAAGCAAAAGCATTAGCAAGCAGTAGATAGCAGGAATGGCAGAGGCACGCTCAACTCAATCCTGCTTACGACACACTCCTGCCCATCTTGTTGGGGTTGCTCATGCAAGTCATGGCTGCAGTACTGGGCTGTGCATGAGCAGCTTCATGTGTGACCCAAGGGACATGTAAGAAATAGGAAAATGCTCATGACAGCCACAGGATGAAGATCATTTTCACCCAAGGATGTACCTTGATGTCATTATGTCAAGCATGAATACTAACTATGCTGCTAAGCTGTGCTACAGGACTTTTGAAACTCTGCCTGCAGTCATCAGTGAAAGAGGAATGGATTATGCCCCATTCCTTGTTGTTTCTCTAATTTAAAGGTGGGTGGTTGTTTCATTCATACCTCTCATCTCTTCCTGCTCAATACATTTTAAAAGACAGCAGGTTAAAAAAATGTCCCCACTTAGCTTTATTAGCTAAAAAGGGTATTCTTCTTGCTACTTCCCTGTTCGCTATCTGTGGTAAATCACACCATCCCTCAGAATTAAACAACAGAATTCCCTCACTGAGAAAGAGTAAAACAACTCCCGCCTGTATACTATACATAATGATTTTGACCTGCTTGACAGTAAAAGACACACAAGGGTGTTTTTTTCCCACAGTAAGACAAGTTGTTTATTAACAACAGCTGCCTGACTGTGATGATCTTGGATAGAACATACATCTTATATTTTGTAATAAAGATTATACTTCCAATAAAATTTAGCAAATTCTCTGTGGAGGACAATAATATATCTGACTTACAACATTCAGATCTCTATTCATCCAGGGATCTACCTACCATCAGAGACGTACTTCAGGGCATATAACATCTCTTTTTTAATGTTTCTACCTGAGACATGTAGCCCAATGAGACTAGGTATTCTAGACCACATTTTAATAAAAATAATAAACGTTTAGTATCCACTGCCGGCATTCCCTACCCCTTTTCTACAAATGAAGATGTAGATGATACCAAACCCTATTAGAAACACCCCAAAGACACACCTAAAATTCTATAAAACACGAAGTCAGTCATGATGTTAGGGGCTTTCACTGGAAACACTATCTTGAGCTTTCTGTTCAGTCCCTAAATACCAGCAGATATAATGGTGCCATCACACATAAAAAAATTATAGCAGTTGGGATTCCTATTCGGTAAAAAAAAATAAAATAAAATAAAATATAAGGTATAAGCAATTAAAGGTGGCTTTACACAGAAGAATTTCATTATGCATAAAACACAAATGTTTTCTCTCAGCTGTATTCTGCTGATCTGCAACAGGGCACACGTACAAGATAGTGGCAAATCTCTTGCTCTCCTGACATCATGTCACACAGTAGAGCTAGTTACACATATTATAAAACCTCAGCAATGCTTCATCTTAAATGGAGATTCATAGGACAGGTTTTATGCAGCAGTGGGCACTGAATGTTTCTCACATCTCCTCTTTGACAACACACCTAAGAATTATCCTGTATCTGATTTTTCATGACTCCTATTTAGCTTTGCTCTGGTATTTCAAATATAGGTCACCCATGTGACAATCTCTTTAAGCATGTGTATTCAGTAATACATGCAGAAAACACATGCAAAGAGCTAAAAAAAATACTTAACGGTGCATAAGCTCATTAAAATGATAAAGCACTTGTATTTATTCAGCATGTCAGATGGTTTAATTGATTGTATAATCATCATCTAATTCTAAATGGATCGGGCAAAGTCCTCCAGCAACTGAGCAGCTTCTTTAACAACAGAAAAATTTTTAGTGGAGGGAAGTTGAATTCATTTCTTTTTTCCAAAATGGTCAGGAAAATGTTTTAAAGGAAGATCTAGGACAAATATTTTCACAAGGTTACTCTTGCATCCCCTGGTAAGTGTCTGGAACAGCAGAACAAAATGGATTAAATGCTTTGTTTCTAAATCCAGTATTAATCAATTTGAATTACAGTTCATTGGGTTATTTTGCTCCTCAAAAGTACTTGCCTTTGATTTAATTCTATTCATTCGAGGAGGAAAAACTATGAGGTATGAGGAGACACAGAAGAGGAAACATGGAAGGATCTACTGCATGCTGCCCAAGTTTGTTTGCATTTCTGTTCTTTCTTGCATGTCCTGCTTGAGACACTGATAACATCATCCCCAGTTTTCTGCTTACAGAACACACTTCATTTTGGTTTTTTTGTTGTGTTGATATGTGATGTCTAATGTTCAAATTCCCAGCTGTAGACTCACTGACCAAATTTTGACTCATATGAATGAGATGTCCATGCTGAATACATATGGCTATGGTACTGTACGACAGTTTGAAATAGGAAAAAGGACGACACTGGGGGAAAAGGAAAGTTGTAGGCATACTTGAGGGTACTACCCTGTACAGAAATACATGAAACATCCTGGGATTAGGATGTTATTGTGATCAGATGAAATATTTGGTTCAGTGCTGTCTATAATTAGCAATTTATGGCCTAGAAGATGTGCCCTGCATGATTTCATGAAATCTAAAATAAGGGCATTTTACTGTCTTTCCTTACAGCCCTGAGTAGACCAACCACCAGGCTATGGAGCAGCAGATGGCTGTATTTATCATATGTCAGTCAAAAATAAAAAGTGTGTTCTGATTGGTTCAATGAGCCAAAATAATTGTTTAATGCACTGTAGGTTGATTAGCTTGTGCATCTGGTATCTACCTCTTAGAGGAATATTTTAAAGCAACTTAAAGACATGAAATGGGCTTTCTGAAGCCAGTTAGCCTCTTCTAAAATTAATAAAAAAAACCCAAAACCAAACCCCCACCAAAAAAAAAACCCTCCAAGTGATACATTTCTTGGTTTGGGGTTTGGGTTTTGGTGGGTTTTCTTGGGTTTTTTTTTCTGAAGATTTGACAAGCTAAAAAGATGGGAACCCTCCTAAAAGTGTTCCCAGAAAATTTTATTCCTGCTCCTAAAGTATGCTAATCAATGATTACAGGGGAACACTTCTCATGGGGAACTCAATCCAAAAGAAACTTTTGCTCCAATAAGTTTAAGGTTAAGGACAGAACTAAGTACATCCAGGAAGTATTTTCTGAAATAATTAAACTTAAATGCCATCTGCCTATTCTAATGTGCCCAACCATTGAATCTCTTGCATGGGAACTGTGGAAGGCTGGACAGTTTCAAATGGAGTTCTCATCATACGTGTTTTCATTCAGCTGTAGCATAGCAGGAGCATTTAGAGGTAAGTACAAGCTTGGTAGACAAAACATTGTCAGTTTACTTAATAAGTGAATTTTCACAGGCAACAAACCCCTGGAAAAACATTTTGTCAGGACAGATACTATGGTCAGTACTGGAAAGAAATTAGACTACAGCAAACAAGAGGAAGAGTATAACAAATAGAAGAGGAAGGACGGGCAGCTATAGAACAGCAAGGATACTTACTCAACATATTTATTCCAGGACGGAGTCTCTGATTGTGCCATGAACACACAATTAGTTAAAATAGTGCACATAATAAACATACTGAACAATGTAAATAAGCAAATTAAGGAAAGCAACCCATATGTTGTAAGACTTAATAATTTTTTGTCATTTCACACAGGATATAACAGCTCACTCATAATTTGCAAGTTGCTTAGAAAGGACTATAGGCATTTGTTTGCAAGTACATAAGGAAAAAAATTATTATATAAACATAAAAAAATATTGAGAATAAGGAAACTTTTCCCACTGTTTTCCTTTGCCTACATTTTTTATACATCATACAGTAAACAAATGTACTGACTAGCAGTCCTCTGAAAATACAATACCCCAATTTTACAGCTGTGTTGGTCAGATGACAATGTGCATAGGTGCACAACTTTGTACAAAAAGCAGGATTAGTATCATTTAAGTATCTACAGAAAACTTGTGTCTGCAAATTCCCATTATATTTTGCATCCTGAAACACTTCTCAGGCAGTAGGGCAAGTTATAAATCTAGTCTTTCTAATCTTTCTAATGGGCTTGAGTTCTCACTTTCAGTATAAAGTAAGTTTCACCAAAAGCTAATATGAGTTTCACAGCACTAATTTTAAGGCTTGGTTTGCAAACTGGCTTGTCTTAGTCTGCAAAGCTGGCTTCCTCCGCTGAGGCACCAGTTTCCCTAATTGAAGGCTAAACCAAACCTCCCATGTGTATAGTCCATACTCTTAGCTGCTAAGCTGAGGCCGCAAATACAGAAAGGAGCACCCTTAATCGAATTCTTGAAACTGAAAAAAAGTTCACTGAACTGCTGTCCTAAAAGCACATGTCACTTTCTGTAAAAGTATTACAAAACATGAAAGGAGTCTCCTGCATAAATAACAGGTCTCATGCTACTGGAGAAAGTTTAACTAATGAGTTTAATTGGACAGAAGACAAGGAAAAGGAAAACAGCCTACAGCTCAGTCAATAAGATGGGATCCTTCCCAGCAAAGATTGGTAGCCTCCATATATTAATCTGTTTTGCCTTCTTTACAAAAAAAAGAAAAAAATATGTAAGGTGTTTGGCTGGCTGGTTGGTTTTTACTTTTTTACTGATTCCATAGGTGTCATATTTTGTTTGAGAATAGTGATCCAAGAATACATTCTGAAACATTTGCATGAAAACTGTCTTTCTGCAGAGTCAAAATCTATGCTGAAAACAGTGGAATGTTTTCCTATGGGCCACATAAGCAACTGCAAAGCTAAATTGGTAGCAACCAACCTGCATATTCCCCAGTGCCATTGCAGAAATCAGTAATTGAACTCAAAGGGACTGCTCATCTCACAAACATTTTCCAATTCTGAGCCAACACCTACTGAAGGACTGGGATGGATATCTGATAGCCAGTCACATTTTCTCACATCAGCTTGAGATACGTTTCGGTAATTTGTGTCCATCTGGTTAACACAATTAGGTTATAAGCTGCAGCTAGCCTAGAAAACACTGGATTACTTTTTCCAACTACAGTGAAATGCTATGAAAACAACAATAGTAAAACAGAGTGGTATCTTCAGGCCATGCCAAAAAAGTACTGTGCTTCAATTCAATTCCAAGCAAAGAAATTTGTCTATAACCACCTATTTTAGGATCACTGGTCTGATTTATACATCCCTGTTTCCTTCTGGTGTAAGATGAGTCTAACAGATGTTCACTTACAGGCAGGTGTCATCACCTTTTTCAAACACCAAAGAGAATACACCAGAGAAAACAGGCTGAAAATGTAAGGGGTCAGCTGTGGGACACCAAATGCTCTATGAACTCAAACTGAGTTTCATGACCAAGCTGGAAACTATAAAGAACATAAAAGAATGAAGCATTTCAAATGGTTATGCACCAAGGTCAGATATCTGTATTAAAAGAAAGAGGGGGAAAAAAAAAAATCCTACAGAATGAAAATTAGCATTCCTACCTGAAATCTAATGCAATTGGTTGCATTACAAAAAGTCAGTGTTGATGATCTACTCAGAAAGCACAAAGTAAAAAGACGAAATTGAGATAAGGTATATTAACAACATTGACTGTTACCTATCTTAGAACTGCTACTAATTCTGATTTTTGAAAACCTACTGATCCATGAGTTTACATGGCTAACACATTCAGAAGTATGGGTTGGACTCTGTTATGGACTACAACCCAAATATAGTAAGCTACTCACCAGGATTCTTTTTGCAATAAATTAAACTTATGATTTCCAATTTGAAGTTACAGAGTAAGTTTTGCACAAACTGGTTCTAAAACTTATAAATTTTATCTCCTAGCACAAAGTTATTGAGTAAAACACAGCATACCTCTGTTCTAGACTTCATTATGATGGATAATTGTTAATTAGCAGACTGAATATTAGAGGTTTTTAAGTGATCATTGCCAAATTACATATAATATGTGCAAGCAAAGGTTAGTCCCAATCAATAGTACATATAATTGGTGCTTGACAAGGTCTCATTTTCCCTTATGGAGGAAAGTGTGTAAAATCAGACAGGAGAAACGTTGCAAGCAGAAAATATGAACAAAGATTGGAAATTTGGGTTGGTTTGGTTTTGTTTTGGGGTTTTTTTTGTTTTGTTTTTTAATGGGCCAGAATCCATAATTCTTACATCAAGGAAGGTAATTTTGGCCAAAATCCCATTCTGGATCTGTGGCAAACAGCAGCTACCTATGATACCTAGAAAAACAAGAAATAGCAATTGCTATGATTTTATATAGGACAGCAAACTGCTTGGAGAAACTAAGGACACCACAGAATGGTCCTTGGCTTTCAGGCAGGAAGAACTAAGAGGCGTCTTTTAAGCATAAGACATCAATGAAATGTTAGGAGGTGGAGTTTGTAAAGGAAGATACTAATAATAGCAAATAACGATGCATAAGGCAAAAAGCATTCATCCAGTGGGATGCAGACCTACACTCCCTGTGTCCTCTGTGACAGAAATGGACCAGGGTCTTGTTCTGGACAGCCGTTTGGCCCATGGTTCTTTCATAAGGCCTCCTAGACTCTGAAGAAGAGGAGAAATATCTACAAAAGCTTTAGGAATACATTGTTAATTGAAGTAATTCACCTTACTAGGAGGTTGTGGATGTTTTTTCCCTTGGAAGACTGTATTTTTGAATGACTAGACTAATTAGGCTTGGCTGGATGAGCAGTTGAATATACAGGATGTATCCTGCCTGAAGTCTCAGAGGAAGAACTCCATATACAGCTACTTAAACAAGAAATGTGACACCCACAGCTTCTAGAAAGGACAATTTTACTCTGTCCTCTCTATTCTGTTCTACTGTTAGCTTTCATGGTACACTTAATGACTGAAATGGAAATATTGCATCTACTAGAGAAGATGCTTCAGACACTTCCGTGACAGGGCACCATTTGTTAATGCTCTTTTTTGGGTTTTGCCCTGAGGAAAATAAAGATTGCTTGATTACACTCACGCAAGACAATAGATCTGGTTCCCAGATTCATGTCTGTGATATTATCTGCTTGAGTACTTGCCGATTCAGGCTCCTTTCTGCCTGGGATATTGACTGCCTGCTCAGCCAATTGGCGTTTGTTTTTTGGGTTGATGTGAAAGATCTTTATTGACAGAAAACAAATCAGTGCCTAATGCAGGAACTTCATCACTGTTCCAGTGGGACTACAGCTGTTGCCTCCTGCCTGAGCTTGCCAAAGATTGAGCTGTTGGATTTCCTGACATTATCAGCACAAGGTGATAACTGGAGTCTAAAATGCTATTTATATTGTGACTCTCCACTCCCACAATTTACAATATTTCTGTTCCTGATGTATCTTTCAAATTCACTCCTCTGTGGTCTTTATCCTCAGAAGTAATGTCATAAGGATTTATTGCATACTTAACTTTTGGTTGACTGTTACCAAGATCATGTAGTTCCTGTGTATTACACATACTTGTGACCTCTTGGCTACATCAGGGGGTGTAGAAGAAAGTGAGCAGAAGACAGAACAGGTCTCCAAAGCTGGAGGCAATATTCAAATGTACATGCTTTTTTTCTCTTAGCCATACCTCTGCCAATTCATTGACTTCAATTAACTTCAGCAAGGCTGTGCTGATGTAACTGTATCTAATAAACACTTGGGTATGCAGCAGCAAGTGCTGCACTGCTTGCATGTATAATCTGATCCATAATCAAATCTCTCTGTAAAATTCTATGGTGTATTCTTAGTAATCATAATAATATCTTGGCTGATATCACACACCCATTTTTGCATAGAATTATTGTAACTAGAAGCTTTGCCTATTTTTTCTTTTGCTAGATTATCTATATTCTCATTTTTTTTCTCCCTATATGGCAAACCACTGGGAATCTGGTTTCTTCCTGGTTTGTTTTGTTGGTTATTTTTGTGGCCTAGTTTGTTTAGTTTATTTCCTCCCTCAAGTCTGATAATAAACTAATGATTCTAAGATGCTACCTGCTTTGTACTTATTAGTTCTTTGTGGTGGACTTGAGCATTACAGATGAGGGATTTTTGTCACTGAAACGTCACACGATCATCACAGCTCCATGTGGAGTCTTTGAATTATCACTGCCAGGTCTCCCATGTGCACCAGAGAAAAAGAAGGCAACTTGTGAAAAAAGGTGTGGTTTTAGTAATGTTCGCACAAAGCTAAACATTTGTGTCTGTTTGGTCTTCCAGAGAGGCATGACTATGTCAGAATATAATGTTTCTGTGTCAGTGTTTAAAAACCAAGTGAAAAGCAACCACTGCGACATATCCTGCATGACTTCAGAACTAGAGCTAAGGGAAATTAGGCATCACCCTTCGATCGAAAGGTCCATCAGGCAAGCCTGTACTTCATTCCTAGCTGTATAACACATTCCAATAAGCAAACTAAAAAAACCCCAAACAAAATACAAACCAAAACACAATTTTAAAAATGTTTTGTTTCAGGAGATCAAAATAATTAATTTCTAAGGCAGTTCGAAACTAAATTGCATTTGCATAGGGTGTCACAGAGTCTTATGGAAGAGGCTGCTCAAAAGCTCAGTAGCAAAGCTCTCCATCAGTGTAGATTTCCCAAGGTATGCTCCAACCTCCTGGTTCCCTTCCTAAGGTACTACACCCAGTTTCTCGCACTGACTCTTTACTAAACATGTTCAGGCCCTTCACACCTTTTAGTCCTGAGTAAAGTCAGCATACTCTCCAAAGCAGTTCACATTATCTGATGCCAGCAGTATAATATAGCCATTTTCACAGTTCACATAACAATATAAAATGAACCAAACCAAAAATCCAAGTGCATTTCTGCTTCTGCAAGCTAATTCAGCCAAAAGGTTTAAAACAGCTTAATGAAATAAAATGGTTTCTGACTTTCATCCATCTGTGTTTAAGAACCATATAAAATACACGAGGAGGGAAATCAACAGAAAGGATATGAATGTACCAAAATTTTAATTGCTGCTCTTCTGATTGGATGGAAAGGACTAAGTATATACAAGGCAGGAGTGGCACTAAATCGAAAGATTGTCTTCCCTTTGTTCAGTACTATAAATGTCTGGAAAACAAAATGAAAGAAAATGAGAACGTTCAGTATTTTCATTTATGCTCAGCTTTTCCCAGCCCATGTCCCACTGGAAAGTTCCTGCCAGGATCCCATACTTCTTCCCCACTCCCCCAAATACCCCCAAATTCCTTTTCACTTGGTGAAGAGTTTTGTCCAAGACCCGCCCAGCAGAGCTGTTGCCTGTCCTATTGCAAAATCCCAACTATTTTTCATTCCTTCAGTCCTTACAGGGCCCTGTGCCATCACCTCTTTCACAGGGATGGGAAGAGAGTGAAATTACCTTTAAAGATAAAAAATTACCCAGAGACTAAAATGTGGTGGAGGGACTTCTATGATGTGCTTTTCCAAGTGCCAGAGTCCTTACTATATTGTTACTCCATTTTCTCTACCTTGAGCCCATTGTTGCTCTCAGTCGATGTTTTTGTCTCACCAAGTAAGCAGCTGCATGAGGCACAGCTTCACCGCAGGACCTGACCCTGGCACTAAGGCACTGTCATTGTACTCAAGTTAATATAAGCAGAGGAAACCAATACTGTGAATTATCTTAAATCCAAAGTAATGCTGAATTGGATGCTTGGCCAATTTATGGAGCTCTGCAGATGCTCCAGCATGCACAGGGGAACTCATATTCACTCAGAGACAGGATCAGGACACCCGATAGATAAACTCTAAGCAACTCTCCCACCTGGAGTCTAAGACCTTCATGACACTAAAATTGCAAATCTATATCCTGCTGCTTGTGCCCAGGTATAACAGGCAAATTAAAAGGTAAATTAATTCTGGCCCTTCCAGGTAAGTAATCTATTTGTCTTTATTAATTTAACTTTTATTCTGTAGTTCTTGTACCTGTTTCTACACTGTTTTAGTAGAAGTAGCATTGTGGTCACATTAATTCATTGATTATGGGAAATAGCATAGCCCAAAATTGGGAACATAAGTACCTGAAAGAACTAGAAGCTGCCTAAAAACACGCTGTGCTTCCAAGCTTTATTTTGTCCTCAGTTTTGTGAAATGTTTGGAAAGGGGAATGACCTGTAGTAAGCAACCAGCCCAGCTCTGCTGTCAACAGCCTTTTGACAGAAGCTGTTTGTGCTGTTGTGGCTTTGTTCCAACCTACACGTGATTCTTCATCAGGTGATGCTTGCTTTGGGACGAAGCTTACCCTTCTGCAAAGAGCCAGCACTGCACATGCTACTCACATCTCCCTTCAGCTCTGTTTTGGTCATCTTAAACAGTCCTGAACTATCCTTTCGCAGGAAAAGAATTATCTGCTCTCCAGGAACAGTTGTGGAAGTGCCTCCTGCTCTTGTGCAGAGTGCTAGCCCAAGACTCAAGCCACCCAGAAGCCCTTAATGTTAAGGGGCTTAAGTGATAAACAACAGATCTGTGAAGAGTCAAGGCTCATGCAGAAAACAAGATAGGGTAGATAAAAACCTCTGGCTTAATTTAACTCAGCTACTGTTCTGCTCTTTTCAGACACTGTATATTCATACTCAGAGTTATCTAAAAACACCAACGTTTTAATTATGCTTTTTAACCCTCTTTGCCCTCACACTTAGATGTTTTGTGGGATCCCTGCTCATGCTGAAACTCTGATCCTTAATGTGGAAGAAAACATTTTTACTGGCTGCAGAAAGCAACCAGAGCCCTCAAAACAGCAAAGCAAAGAAGCAGGATGGCTAGTTGGTGCTCACCTTACGATCATTGTAGTAAGGGTCAAGGTCCTCCAAAGGCTCCGCAATGAGCTCTGGAGGAACAGTCCCATAGATATCGGGCAGCTTCTTGCAAGCTTGCAAATCAAACTGAGGCTGAGGTTTCTCATCTTCACCCAGCTGCTCTCTGTATTCCTGCTTCGCATTCCTTGCGACCTTCTCCGCAATTCGTTTCTCAATAGCAGCCAAGGATTCAGGCGTGAACCGGTGGAAGCTGTTAGTACCCGGTGGTAACAAGAAGTCAGCCATCTTTTCATCCTGCTTTGTCTTTTCTGGTCTTTACTCCTAGTAGTGGAAACAGCTGAAACAAAAAGTACCAAAGGTTAGTGACAAGATCAAAGCAAGAAGAACAAAGCCATCAAAATGACAAAAAATAACCCGAATAACTTGCAGGCTATGTATTATCAGGAAAACAGCTATTTTTATGAGGTGAGTAGAAGATCAAGGAAGATAGAAATGACCGAAACTGTAATTTCAATTAAGAATCACTCACAATTAGAGCAAAAAAGACTTCGTAGATAGGCTGTGGAGTATTAAGTTTTTCAGGCGCTTGGGATCCTCAATCCAAAATAAGGAGTAACTTAGATTGATACAAGATTAAGTTTCATAGAAAGCCACACAGATTTGGATTCCTAACTCATTTTTGAAAATGCAGCTCTGGGAGTGGATGAACAATGTGCCTAAGATGACTGCAGGGCAGATTTAAAGCAGCCAATCTCTGGCCACATGATGCAAACTCTAAAAATGCCCCAGCTGTTCTATTCCAAATTTAAAGAGTGAAAGGTCAAGTTCAGATTCTTAAATCACACAGAAATTCTCCATGATCTCTATCTTAGGGTTTTGCAACATTATTTTTATTTTCCTTTGGGATAGCGAATCCCATTTTCAAAACATCCAACAAGACTTCTGTGCATTTTCTTCTCCTCACACCCTACAATCTGAATGATGTTAGAACCCCAAATGTGCTTGGCAAATCCCGGGACCTTCATGAGAGCCCTCCAAGCTGAATATCCACTGCTGCCAGTTCATCACATCTGAAAAATAGGCTCCATCCATCCAATACCAGATCGAACATCTAACCCAAACCTGTGAGGCCTGACCATCTCAGGTTGATGGTGCTTCACTGTTAACACTTCCAATCCATATCTGAATTAAAATGACTGAGAATTGCCACATCCCTTCAACTTACATGAATAAAGCAAAGTGTGAAATACATAGCAGATTAAAAAGTCGTCTTGTATCTGCACTAAACAACATGTATAGCTGTGAAAATTAATGACAAAATTCTGTTTGAAAAGGGATGTTTATCCCCATTCTAGTAGCCTGTACAAATCCATCCAAGTTCACTAAAGCCGTATTTTGCAATTTCATACTGAATTTCATGGCATGTTTTTTCCAGCAAGAGAAACACTCACTACACAACAATTAAAACTCATTTCATAGAAGAAACACATCCCTTGTTTTTCTACTGCCAGCAGACCATTCATACTGAATCAGTATATAAGCTGGAGACAAACAAAATAGTAGATTTTGAGGTGGGCTACCCCATTGCATTTGTCAATGTGTGCAGTGTACAATTCTTTGTTCAGCCGCAATTGTTTTCTGCTTTCAGATGGTATTTGTCTGTTTACAGTGGATAGTTCCAGATAGTTTGCTACTACTAGGCTCTGTGGTGACAGCATTTTTCTTAGCAAACAAGACTTAAACTGGACTCTGCATGACAAATAGAATATTTATTGACTCAATTTATTTTAGTAAAGTACTCTTTCAAATAACTACTTTTTCCTATTTTGACTTACTTTTAAAATGAATTCATTAAATTGTCATTGATCACAGCACAGCCTATCATACAGGAATGATTTAGTGGAGCTTGTATATTATACTCTGCATTACTGCTTGTTTGAATAAGCAGGGCTAAAATGAATTAGCCTTCCTGGAGTTTGGATACTCTGACATTCTTCTTTATTTAGATTTATTCTCTTTATTCCTTTACCCTCTCCCCCTACATCATTTGTTTTATCCCCTTCCTCCTGAAAAACAGGAAATTAGAAGCTTTCCCACAAATTGAGTTTTCTTGTGCTCAATGCTTTGTGACTCAGCACCAGTGCAAGCAAATAGAATTTTACTTTCTATAAATGGCATCAGTACAGGTGGCCAGAGAATTCTCAGTTTGTTGTCATCTCAATTTTTGTTTCTTTGCAGTGAAACCTGTCTCAGACCCAAAGGGAATAACAAAAATTAGTGGCTGATCTGTACTTCTGGAAGGGCACAGACCAGGACTCTAAACAGGAGACAAGGCCACAGTGTGCGGCTAGTTGAGGTCTAAATCATCATGAGCACTGTGAAGACAATGAATGAGGAATGATTGTTCACTTTTCCTCATAATACAAGAATGAAGACCTTCCAAATCAAATCACAGATTAATGGTTTTAAACACAAAGATGCTGTCTCTGAGAAAATCCCTTAGCTGCAGAACCTGAGCGCATGCAAGAAAGACTACTTACGTTTGCCCTATTTTTATGCTCTTCCTAGGCTACTAGTCTGGAGAAACCTGTCATCTCATTTTATATATTTTTGTCCTTACATACTGCTAATGCCAACATAAGACAGCCTACAAAGCCCTGGGCAAGGGCTCAATCTGCCTTCTGACTTTGTGGCTGGCCTGGGCTTGTGCAGACACAGAAGCACACAGAAACCCAGAGTTAATACCCCCCAACATCTGCAGGTGCTTGAAATTCACATCACACCAACTACTTGCCTCTAACCTACAGAGACATTCCCTTTGCTGGAAAACTGGTGGTAGCCACCCCTACACCATCTTCTCCACATAGCTGAATTGGAGGCATGGCCATACAGCATGAGGCCCACCAAGTACTTCACTGAGATGACAAGAGAATGTGGGGAATGTCTCTACTAAGGGCAATGGAGAAAACTTCCTTGATTACAAAAGCTGAATCTTCACAAGAAAATTCCGCATCCTTCTCAGACTTCCTTAAAGAATTATGAAAGAAGCCATTCTGGCAATAGCAATGGTCAATTTTTATTTTTTTTTAAATATAGGGGATGGTGAGAGAGATAAAATAGCCAGAAAAACCTAATAAAAATTAGAAGTTTTAATTATTTTAAAGGGAATTATATTTGTTTAAAGCTCTTTTCTTATTAGAAAATTGAATCAACTTCTAGCTGGTCAAAACAAAGCCTTTTCAATTTTATCTGCAAATTCCTGAAAGATAATAAACTGCCTAGGAAGAAGTAGAAAATCCTATACAAACTTTGTTAGAACTTTTGCTACTCTTCTATTTACTGTTCTTTTATAAACATACATTTTGCATCATCCTTACAATTGCAAAATCTTGACATGTTTTGTCTTAATATTGCATATAAGTTCCAAATTTTAGTATATATACTTAGCCTAATTCTTTTTCAATTTCATATGTTTTCAGGAAATGGACAAGATAATTTCATGGGTCCTTTCTATGTCTAATTTCTTTTGATCTATGAATTGCAGACATATCTACAAATAGCCAGGGTTAGCCCAGACGTTTCTTAAGAAGGTAAGAAAGAACCACGGCTTAAAAAGGGAAATCATCAATGACTGAATCAAAGAGCTGGAATGCCATTTCTTACGAGATAATAGCTGTTGTGATTCACATTTTTACAATATAAGCCTGAATTTTTTCCATTCCTCTCAGGCATATTTTCGAAGTACAAGGCTTCAAACACATTGTTTCTGTGATATCACCATGCACAGAATGAATATTTCGCTCTTGCTTTGTCAGTTAACATCGGTTCCTGCTAATAAAACTGTACTAGTTATGTAAACAAAATGTGCATATGAAAATAAAGCCCCAAGATGCATATTTTCTAAGGCATGGCAAGAAGTAAGAACAGTACAAACAAGTAAGATATTGCTAGCACCTGTATTTATTCAGAAAGATAAATGCCATTTTCCACTACAGTTTTAGCCCTGCTCTCGTAGGCTTCAACCACCCCAGCTCAAAAGACCTTTCAGGTTCTCAGAACATGACCTGCATGCCCTGCAAGCATTTCCTTGGCTCCGTATAGATGGGTGACCAACACCAACACAAAAGACCACTTTGGATTGTAAGTTGCCTGCAGATATGCAAATACAGGGAAAGTGGGTTCTGCTCACCTCCAGCTAGCTGCCCTCCTGCTCTTGCATGAGCTTTGTGGACTCACACCACCACCCTAGCACCTACCAACCCCTTATCATGGCTCAGGATGCTGACAGAAGCCATCAGGGAGGTCCTATCCTCCAGAATAAACAGAAGCAACAGAAGCAGAGGCTGATGTCCTTGCTGTGCACTACACCTTGTTGCACACTGACTTCATAGATGTCACAGCTTCTTGCATCTCCATCTTCTGCTTGCATGATGGCATAGGATTTCTTGCCTGGCATGGTATCATGGACATGCATGCATATATTTCAGACACTTAGCAATGATAATAAATTAGTCAAACTTGAAGATCAAAAACATAAAAGTGGCACTCACAGGCTAAAAGTTAGATACCATCAGACTTGCTCATCTCTGTTAGGATTGTATCCATTAAAGCCTATTGATTTCTGTGATGCCGCTCAAGAAGCTACTACTGACCATGGGCTGGGAAGATGGATGATAGCCCATAGCAGCAAGTATGCTTCCACTGCATTTCTGGTAGACCTAAATGTTACAAAATAACAATCAGGACTCCTAAATTCTCCTTTTGTTTAAGAAACGTTTGTGACTAAATAGAGACTTTGCATTTCTAACTGCTGTGATAACAAAAACAGTCATGAGAATGGATTTCTTTTAAATGTTTGAGACTGCATGAAGCACAGCTGCCTTTTATTCCCCCACTCTTTTCTATATAATCTCATTTTCCTTTGACCTGCAAAGCACTGTAAAACATGAGAATAATAGGCTAGGGAAATAAAGAACAATACAATGACACATCTAATTTAATGTTACTGGCCTAGATTCTCAAATTCTTATGCAAAAATTTATACACATATACACACAAACATTTTATCATATGAAAAGAGATTACAAGGTAATATGGGATCACAAGGAAGCTTTATTCCAACCATGAAATAATGACTTCATTGAGAACTCCTGGTTTTAATTAAGATCAAATAAAGACTTTCTACATAAAGATAGATACATAGAGATCAAGAGGCTAAAGGAGTCTAGGTGACTTAGACGCTCTTCATAATTTTACTGACAATCAACAGGCAACCTCTTGAGACT